TAGTCTGCCTGTGTCTTCCCTCTGCAAACGAACATTTCAGAGTTGGTTGTGATATACAGTCTGTATAAGTGTGGTCAATCTAATAAACATTTGTAAGGAGATGGCAGTTACTGTGAATGTACAGCAGGTGATTAGTAATAAACAGTCAGACAATGACTCTGACAATCTCATTCAATCTTGCAGATTGAATGCACCTTCTGTGGAAAGTGGTACCACACAGTGTGTGTGTGGACTTTCCCTGTGCAGAAGGCGACTACAAATGTTGTGGGTGCTAAATAAACAGAAAAAATTTATCCCTGTTGTCTTTGCTTACTGATTGTTTTTAGTGTTGACAATCCACATTGCTGGGATTGCATCTGTCAACATGTTTGTGGGTAGATTTGGATGTACCAGGGGTAAGTGCAGCCACTCAGCCTCTACTCAATGTGATCATAGCAGCAGGTGCAGATGTGTCACAAGTTAATCTAGTAGTAGGCTATGGTATTTGGCCACAGGTGGCAGCAGTGGACTGACCTCCATTGGAGACTGCTCCAGCTGCTATGTGATAGTGGATCTGCTACAAATTGAAGATCATAAGCAAGTTTTGGAAATTAACCCTTGAATTATGTTGAAGAACAAACATTGATTTTGTTGCGTCAGCGTGATGAGAGCTATTGAAAACAAAAGAAAGAATCTTTGGAAAAAAGTTATCTAAGGAGAATTAATTTATTTTAGTCTGACCCTAGTCCCATCCGCTAACATGGAGGAGGCGGGGTTTATGACCTATACTGCAGCCAGACACCAGGGGGCGATAGAGACGTTTTGGCTTCATTTTTGGGGAGCTGTCGCATCGTCCATGTTCTCATCGTCCTCAGTCAGTTCAGTCACGTGATGCTTTGTCGCCAAAATGTACAAATAAATGAGACTTTTCAAAGAAACTGATTGTAACAGCTTTTTCAATACATTCTTTGTCTGCTCTTGACCTTACAAACTACACCCATTATTATTTGATTAACATTATTTTTGGTAAAATAGGCAAGGCAATGACAGGCATAAAGTCCAAAAAAACAAACATGAAGCATTTTAACAGAAAAGAAATGGCACTGAGAGCCAGATTAAACAGAGCAGGTCCTAAAGCTGTGTTTGGACAAACTCAATGGACAAAAACAATTCACCTTAAACAAAAATCTGCAGGGAGTGTCGGGGAGAGCAGCCCCACAACTACAATTCATCTCTACACATCTGTCAGTCAGAGGCAACAGTATCGAACAGCAGTTCGAAAAAAAGAAAAATCAACGTCAAAGGAATGGTGTTGGTATTAAAATAAGATGGTGTGTACAGAAAAGTCCTTAGGTTCACCTTTCAGAAGAACATGTGCAAAATACATCAAACTCTACATTTCATCTCTTTAAAAAAATAAACACAAAAAGTCAAAGCAGCGTTGGTCAGGTTTGATCCTACACTGATCGTGTATTCATTCTCAACCCTGCAGCCCACGCTTCCCAATGTCAAGAATATGGTCATTCATACTAATAAGACCTTCAATAATAGTGCTAGTAAGTTATACTGCTGAGCGCTAATTAATGCGTCTCCATGCTGATCCCACTCCTAACAGTAGAGGGCAGCAGAGTGATCACACCAGCTTAAAAGATGCGTCATATAGACTGGAGAGGCAGCAACACTGGCTGGTCTCAAAGATCAGAGGGCTTGATTTCCCAGCAGCTTCTTATCCAAAAATTCTCTTTGCTCACAGAAATGTGAAGAAACAAAGAAAGGAAACTTTGGAGAGACCAAGCCCTCGTCTTACTTATGTATATATATATATATATATATTTATCAACATGCCTCTGGTTTAATATAGATTACGTACAGAGCAACATTTGTGTTCATTACACACAAACGGATTGGGCCGTTTCCTCGTACACAGACATCAGAGGGTATTTGGTTGCCGACATCCACAGAACAGCTTTGGAGCATTGCTAGTAAAAAAAAATGACATTAGTGCAAATTCAGGGAGTGCAGAATTATTAGGCAAGTTGTATTTTTGAGGAATAATTTTATTATTGAACAACAACCATGTTCTCAATGAACCCAAAAAACTCATTAATATCAAAGCTGAATGTTTTTGGAAGTAGTTTTTTAGTTTTAGCTATTTTAGGGGGATATCTGTGTGTGCAGGTGACTATTAATGTGCATAATTATTAGGCAACTTAACAAAAAACAAATATATACCCATTTCAATTTTTTTTTACCAGTGAAACCAATATAACATCTCCACATTCACAAATATACGTTTCTGACATTCAAAAACAAACCAAAACCAAATCAGCGACCAATATAGCCACCTTTCTTTGCAAGGACACTCAAAAGCCTGCCATCCATGGATCCTGTCAGTGTTTTGATCTGTTCAACATCAACATTGCGTGCAGCAGCAACCACAGCCTCCCAGACACTGTTCAGAGAGGTGTACTGTTTTCCCTCCTTGTAAATCTCACATTTGATGATGGACCACAGGTTCTCAATGGGGTTCAGATCAGGTGAACAAGGTGGCCATGTCATTAGTTTTTCTTCTTTTATACCCTTTCTTGCCAGCCACGCTGTGGAGTACTTGGACGCGTGTGATGGAGCATTGTCCTGCATGAAAATCATGTTTTTCTTGAAGGATGCAGACTTCTTCCTGTACCACTGCTTGAAGAAGGTGTCTTCCAGAAACTGGCAGTAGGACTGGGAGTTGAGCTTGACTCCATCCTCAACCCGAAAAGGCCCCACAAGCTCATCTTTGATGATACCAGCCCAAACCAGTTCTGGCGTCTGAGTCGGACTGGAGCTCTCTGCCCTTTACCAATCCAGCCACGGGCCCATCCATCTGGCCCATCAAGACTCACTCTCATTTCATCAGTCCATAAAACCTTAGAAAAACCAGTCTTGAGATATTTCTTGGCCCAGTCTTGACGTTTCAGCTTGTGTGTCTTGTTCAGTGGTGGTCGTCTTTCAGCCTTTCTTACCTTGGCCATGTCTCTGAGTATTACACACCTTGTGCTTTTGGGCACTCCAGTGATGTTGCAGCTCTGAAATATGGCCAAACTGGTGGCAAGTGGCATCTTGGCAGCTGCACGCTTGACTTTTCTCAGTTCATGGGCAGTTATTTGGCGCCTTGGTTTTTCCACACGCTTCTTGCGACCCTGTTGACTATTTTGAATGAAACGCTTGATTGTTCGATGATCACGCTTCAGAAGCTTTGCAATTTTGAGACTGCTGCATCCCTCTGCAAGATATCTCACTATTTTTGACTTTTCTGAGCCTGTCAAGTCCTTCTTTTGACCCATTTTGCCAAAGGAAAGGACGTTGCCTAATAATTATGCACACCTGATATAGGGTGTTGATGTCATTAGACCACACCCCTTCTCATTACAGAGATGCACATCACCTAATATGCTTAATTGGTAGTAGGCTTTCGAGCCTATACAGCTTGGAGTAAGACAACATGCATGAAGAGGTTGATGTGGACAAAATACTCATTTGCCTAATAATTCTGCACTCCCTGTATTAGGGCACGGTGGTTAGCACTGTTGCCGCACAGCAAGAAGGTCCTGAGTTCAATTCCACCATCAGGCCGGGGTCTTTCTGTGTGGAGTTTGCATGTTCTCCCCGTGTTTGCGTGGGTTCCCTCCGGGTACTCCGGCTTCCTCCCACCCTCCAAAGACATGCAGCTTGTGGGGATAGGTTAATTGGATAATCCAAATTGCCACTAGGTGTGAATGTGCGAGTGAATGTGAGTATGAATGGTTGTCTGTCCTTGTGTGTTGGCCCTGTGACAGACTGGCGACCTGTCCAGGGTGTACCCCGCCTTTCGCCCTATGACAGCTGGGATTGGCTCCAGCACCCCCCGCGACCCTGAAAAGGATAAGCGGAAGCGAATGGATGGATGTACAGATCACTATAAATATCAAGAATTAACAGAGAGTGGGTGTTCGCCCAGGGCACCAAACAGGCTAAGTGGGAACATACATACAATCCTTTCAAAGAAAAAGGAAAAAGCTCCTCTCCACTGCACATGGGTGAGGCTGTGTGCCTGAGATGACCACAGTAGTGACAGCGTCTCTCTGTCAAGACCAGAAAACCGGCTGTTTGCAAAATGTGACGCCTGAACTTGGGGCTTAAAGGGATTACTTTTTACATATACTGACCTGATAATTTGAAGATTTGGCCATGATCATGATAAGCTTTTAAATGGGGAAATATAATAGCACTGTCATAATACTTAAAGTACAAATGAAAATATAGAAATTAGTGTTGTATAAATTTAAAATGATACAATGAACTGCCTAAGGGAACTGTAAAAATTAATATAAATGGAAAATACAGAGACATTCGATACAGACATCTGTAGAGACAGAATTAATGAACAGAATGCAATAATACATTAAGGCCACATATACAAGGAGAAGCGGAAAACAAACCACAAGGGGAGATATATCTCATCTCAGATAAGCAGTTAGGAAGATGCTTTAAAACAGTTGTGTCATTGCACTGTTAGAACTCAGTGCAATGAACTATCACAAACTATCACAAATTTCTGTCATTTTACACATTTATTGTGGAGTTTCACTGCACACACAGCCCACTTATGATCGAGTGGGCTGTCATGTCTCATCCAGTCATGCGGCACACAGCCCACTCGATCATAAGTGGGCTGTGTGTGGCCCACGATGTGACACGAGTTTGACACCACTCTTTATAATATATGTTTTCTGTGGTTTATTTTCTTAAACAAATTTAACGAGTTAAGAAGAGAACAAACTTGGGGTTGGTTTTGTAATTCTAATGCTGCGTATAAATAATCTGGCAACAGACTAAATAACATCCTTGAAAAACTAAACTAAAAGTTGCGTTGTCTCTAGAAAAAGAATCGGAGATTGATGAAATCTTGAAAGCGTGTGGACTTTTTCCTCGCGAGTTAGATCGATCATGTCGCAGGTTGACTGTTCTCGTCTAGCAACGTGACGTCACGTCCGGTAAAAATGCGCCGATTGCCACATGACTGGATGAGACTGAACAGATGCACAGCAGCCCATCCTCATGAGCAGGCAGTCGTGAAAACTTCTCACGAGTCTTATCCGGATCCAGGAAGAGTAACGGCAGCTCACCTGCTCTCACTGCCGTGGAGCTTCATAATGCTCACATTACAACCTTAAGGACTCTGCAAGCCTGTTACTCTGAGGGAGAGGAGTGCGACAGACACGGCTCTGAATAACATGCTCTCCTCAGCCTGAGCTTCACTCTGTGTTTTGAAAGAAATGGCAACAAAAGGCAGGCTGGTGCTGCGGAGTGTGTTCACAGGACTCAGAGCTCATGCTGTCTGGTATCAGAGCTCAGCTTCGACTCCCAGTCAAGGTCGGCTGCTGTGGAGACCTCAGCTCAGACATCTGAGCTGCTCATACGGACTCTGCGGGGCTGCTCCGCCCTCCACAGGTACTCATCAGCTGGCTGTACTCCAGCCTGTACACTGACGTGACGTGCGTGCGCCCAATGCCACTACTTCTTCTACTGGTCTTCTACTGGTCTTCGCCTGTCTACATTTGTAGTTATTGGACAGGATTCTCAGTTGAGTCCAGCTTGTCCACATCATTCATGTTTCATTAGAATCCTTTAGAATCTTCCACTTTGTAGGAGACGTGTTTGCTTGTATTATCTAAGACTTTTGGACACTTATTATTTTGTAAAACATTTGTTCTTCCGTCTCTGTAAAAACTGTAATTCTATACATTTCTGCATATCTGTTAATGCGGCAGAAATTCACTTCAGTTTCAGTAAGTACTTAAAATGAGTATCAAAGTGTAACTTGTGACTTGTGTCCCAAATCCATCTTACGATCAGGTCCCAGCAGTCTGTCGTTCAGGAGTCACACCTGTGGAGAACTGCGATCAGATGATGCGGGGAAGAAAGTCACTCTGTGTGGCTGGGTCCAGTATCTCAGGTAGTCAGCCACTGGTTGATTGATATGACTGAGCCCCCAGTGTGTTTTACAGATGGCTGTAGTAACCCACTGTTGTACCTCTCTCCTGACCTCCAAAACCGAAAGTGTCCAATTTGGGTTAATCGCTCTATAAGACCTTTGCCGGTTCTTGTGTAATTTGGCGTTCCCCAGCCTTTTCTCCCCGTTTCCCTTGCTTAAGAATGGCTTCATGACAACCAGCTGAAAATGGTCAGGTGCAAGGACTGGACTGGAAATGAGTGAAAAAGCAGCAAACGTCTTTAAGAAAACCTCTGGGTGCTGGTTTAGCTCACTGGGATGAGCAGGCCGTATGTCTGAGAGTGGCCAGCACAGGTTTGAATCCGACCCGCAACCCTTTGCCACACGTGTTCCCCTCTCTCTCCGTCACTCTTCACTGTACTCTATCGAGTACAAGCAGAAAAAGGCCAAAAAAAATTTAAGTAAAACTCTGAAAGATCTCAAGAAAGCCAAGAGAACTAAGACCATCTTAAAAAAAGTTCTTTCATCATTCTTCAAAGGGTCTCATATAAATTTGAGAAACAGTATGTGTCTCTGCCCCCTACAGGCAGGACCTGTTCGTCATCCTGCGAGACTTCAGCGGCTTGACACAAATTCTAATTCCTCAGGAAGTATGGAAGAAAACAACAAAATACACTAACATTACCAATGAACGCTGTGCTGTAAAATACAGAACTAAATAGTTTGTTTCCTCTGTTTTAAGTCTCCAAGTACTTTGAAAGCCACGTTGTGCAATCTGACGCCCGAGTCTGTCATCAAGGTTACAGGAACAGTCAGGAACCGACCAGTGGGGCAGGAGAACAAGGTCTGTACGTGCTTCTGAAGGTGCAGTGAAACACCACCCACCTGCAGGGGGTGGTGAGGAAAGTCTAGTTCCTGTACTTTGAGTTTAACCCACATGGGCCAGGAATCCTAATTACTACAGCATCCAGTCACACTGTGCTTAATATACTGAGTGCCTGGTTTTAAACGTGGAAGGGGAAAAAAAGTACCAACACTCTCTCATCAATATGTTTCACTATATTTATCAAATAGCATAATAATGTTCTGTCCTTTAATGAACATAGTAAAGGACAGGGATCAGAAACTTTCTTTTCCAAGGAGTGACTGTCTGTCCTAAATAATCTGGTGAATTGATACCATTTCATCAATCTTAAATTGCTTTCTGTAGCAATATAATGAGACTTTTGGTGATTAGTCGCCTAATTCTGTTTTGAATCGTGTGTTTAAACCAGGAGATGCCGACAGGAGAGATTGAAGTCTTGGCAGAGAATGTGGAGGTCTTCAATGTGTGCCAGAAGCTGCCGTTTGAGATAAAAGACTTTGTCAAAGTAAGTAACTTAACGTTACATGGACGTGGACTATTGAGCACGCTGTAATAATAAAAAATTTTTTTACTCACCAGAAGTCTGAGTCATTGCGGATGCAGTATCGCTACCTGGACCTGAGGTCATCACAGATGCAGAAGAACCTAAGACTGAGATCCCAGCTGGTGATGAAGATGAGGGAGTATCTCTGTAATGTGCACGGTATGGACAGCCATGTTTGTGTTCTGTCTTTAATTTGCCCAGACATAAAAGGTCACAGGACTGTCACTGATGTTGTTGCCTGTAAGAGGAAACCAGGTGCAGGAACTAATCTGTTCTTGCTGTAGCAAGCTCTGATTTTCATATGCTTTTTGCTGCTGTTGTTGCTTTGCTGTAATGAATAGGCTTTGTGGATGTGGAAACTCCCACTCTGTTCAAAAGGACACCAGGGGTAAGACATTTGTAGACACTTTTACATGTTTACCAGGTTAAAGAGCAGAAACTTGCACAACAATCCACCTTTAATGGTCTATAAGAACAGTTTCTAAAAAATTCTTTGGTTCTATTAAATATAAATATAACAGCAAAAACATAATTTGGCTTACATGTTATGGTTTCATATCTGATATTTTAATGAACTTAATGAGTGTTTGTGTTTTAGGGAGCCAAAGAGTTTGTGGTTCCCTCCAGAGAGCCAGGATTATTTTACTCTTTACCCCAGAGTCCACAGCAGTTTAAGCAGCTTCTCATGGTGGCTGGTGTAGACAGGTGGGTGCAGGCTCCACAATCTGCTATTTAACAGAAAGATGTTTGTTGTTTTTAAACGCTGCACTGGTCCAGATCGAAAACAGAGTTAAAAGGGAACGAATAGTGAGCATACAGTTCTGGTCAGAAGTTTTCATCCACTCGTCGGGAGCATGAATGTCATGGTAATTTGGGGCTTTTAATGATGATGTACATACATGCGTCTTTAATGTATGTATGTACAAGGTTCTACAGTGTCTTTTAACTACTGGTTAGTGATCATGATTTTGCCCTTTTTGCCAGTATAAAAATGATTTTTTGACAGCATTCATTGGACTGACCAGCACTCAAGAATGGGGAAAGAACTCACTTAAGGTCTTGGAAGGAGACCTGTAGATGTATACAAACTGGGAAGGTCTGTTGGAGACCTTTCTAAACAACTGAATACTGCAAGATAATAAATTCAAACAACTGCATGTAAATGCAAATTGTTTGGATTGTTTGGAAGAAGACCAATTTCTCCCTCAGAGGAGAGGAAATTGATTAGGTTATTCAGGAAACAACCCAGGAAGCACAGGGCTTAAGACTGCCATGAACTTGAACATTAGTGCCACTTTCCCAAGTGAAACAAGTTTTATATTACATGGACTGAGAGGGTGCTGACCCAGAAAGTGAAGAGGTTTTATGGTTGGACGAGACAAAGATTGAGCTATTAGGCCACAATTACAAGGGGTATGTTTGGAGGATTAAGATGAGACTTTCAAATCTAAGAGGACCATACCAACCGTCAAGCATGGTGGTGGTAGCATCAAGCTTTGGGGATGTTTTGCCACCAGTGATACGGGTAAATTGCCCAAAATAGAGAGAATAATATAGGAGGACTACTTCCAAATTTTTCAACAAATCCACAGCTGGACAGTTGAAACGGTCTTCCCAATACTGCAACCTCAACCTAGTTGAAAATTTGTTGGTTACACATAAAGGCTGGGACCAGGAAACCAACCAATTTAAATGAACTCTAAAAATTCTACCAAGAAGTGGTGGTCAAATATCCATCGAGAATTATGCCACAAGCTTGTTGACGGCTACTCAAAGCGTCTCGTCGAGGCAAAGCATTGTAAGGGACATTAGAGAAATAATAGTCAAGTTATATTTGTTATTAAAGATGTATGCTGTACATAAAGCACGTGTATCATTCCACCCTGGGAAAAAACAGTTCAAAGAGGTTATTTAAAATTACTGTCACGTTTATGTTCACGATGAGCGTCTGCAAACTTCTGACCACCATCAGCTAATAAGAAACCATTTTAACCTCCTAAGACCCAAACTCTTTCATGGCATGCGTTTTTAATTTCTCTTTGATATTTGGGCTGATTGGGACCTGATGAATGTAAAAACAAACAATTACCAGTTGTTGTTTTGTTTTTTAACCTGATTTTTGTTTCTAAGAAAAATGAGAGCCACATATGAGGATATTCGTTTAAAATTCGATAGAACAGTAGCAGTATAATGTCCTCGTAAGTGGATATCAGGCCCTTGTAGAGCAAAATTGAGTATTTTGTTCTAAATAACCCAAAATATGATGTCCACATATGTGGACGCCAGGTCCTAGGAGGTTAAAGCAAGTTTGCTATACCAGCCTAAAATGTGATGACTAGGCATGGAGCAAATACTGGAGATTCGTACTCTGTGTGTGAAACATGTACTTGGATAAAAGAGAAAAAAGCCTAGGGGTATTAATCTTATGTCACTGCCTATATACCGGGGAGAAGAACCAAAGGATGATTGCACTCCCATACTGAAATAAAGCACTTAGACCTGACTGATTTCCACTGCTGACAGCTTTGCACACATAACAGAATTTTTAGAAGTCCACCACGTTAGAGTCAGAACCTGCTGTTAATGGCCAACAACCTCTGTCTTCTGTCTCCTCTGTGGCAGGTACTTTCAGATAGCCCGGTGCTACAGAGACGAAGGCTCCAAACCAGACAGGCAGCCTGAATTCACCCAGGTGAGATGGAATACACACAAGTTTGAAGCGCCACAGTTTAAAAAAAGAAAAATACATTTTTCAGTCTGTTTCAGACATGAGATATTTGAAATTGCTGGCCAACCTCCCATATATCTGTTTACAAGTAGTCCTCTTCATGCATGTGTGACATATGCAGCACACGCGCAGCAGTGCAGGCAAATAGTTGTGTGCACACTCACAGACACAGCTGAACATGGACATTTAAAAAAAAAAAAAAAAACTAACAGGAGAAGTTGCAAAAGCTATCCAGAGCTCAGAGCCAACTGCGGTATGAGCAACAAATCAAAACAAATGACAGATTCGTGAAAAAGAGAAAACGACTGATGTCCTGTTAGCTTTGAGTATATGATTAAACTGCCCTTTCCTATACTGGGAGTCAAACCTCAGCTGCCTGTGTGAAAATCTGGAATCTTAACCACTAGAAGTTTGTTCAGTTTCTGAAATAAAATGTCTGACTTCAAACCCGCCCATACGGAAAAGAAATAGTAAAAACTTATATGTGATTACTCATGAAAGTGGCCACTTTCATGAGTAAATCATATAAGGCTTACATGATTTACTCATGAAAGTGGCCACTTTCGCATTACTTTCATACATTGTTTTAGTAAGTATCCAAAACATACAAGTTTCATTATATAATTTTTCAAGGGATCTTATATCTGTTTTCACACTTATATGCTTTTCATACAAGTTTCACACAAGACAGATACAAACTTTATAAGATTTATATATATATCTTTTCCATATGGGCGATTTCGTACCACTTGTGTGTGTAGACCACCTGTTAGTTTTAATATTTTATCAGCTGACTGGTGCATTCAACAGCTAATTAAACTGTGTAGTGTAGCTCACCTGCCTGAAGTACAGGTGAGCATACTGGGTGTTGAATCCAGGCCACTTGTGTGAAAAACAGGAATCCTAACCTGTATCAAAATGTTATGCTTCAAATCTAATTGCGTGCCGTTCGTGCATGTAGTCCAGGATTCTCCTTCTCAAACTACTGTGACAAATTGGATATTTTTGTCCTCTGCTGAGCCTAAGCATTATGGATTTTTTTTTAAATCCACAAAAGTTATATATAAAGGTACTGCTAAGATTTGATATTTTATCACCCCACTGTTGCATAAAACTGCTAAAAAATAATAATTTAAAATGCTAAGAAATGTAATAATAAAGTACTTAAAGGACGAATTAAAAAACTAATACAGAATAATTAAACTGTACTTTTTACATGGCAGCTCACTTCCCAGATGTAAAGCACACAATATAATTTACTGTAAATCTTGATCGAGCCTGTCTCGATGTTTCAAGTTGATTCCAAAGCTCTTTTTTGTTTGGATCCTGCTGCTGCTGGAATTCTTTTACAGCTGTGAGTGAAAACATTGCAAACAATGATGTGCGTAATTTAAAAGGTTTGCTGATTTTGCACCAAAATAAGATTTGCAAACACATACTGGTGCCATCTTTGCTCCTGTGATATTTTATCACAGATTTCAATTCAGGATTGTGTGAGTACCATGTGTCTCTCCTGTAATCTGAGTACATATAGTCCGATTAGTCTGGCCCATAGACCGGCCTGTTGTCACATACATGTGACATGTTGGATCATGTCATGTTGTCTGAATTCTGAAAATCCTCTTGTCGTTTCTCCCAGGTGGACATAGAGATGTCTTTTGTGGACCAGGCAGGTATCATGTCACTGGTGGAGGGTTTGCTGCAGTACTCTTGGCCTGCAGAACGTGGTCCTCTTAAGGCTCCTTTCCAAACTCTGACATATGAAGAGGCCATGAGGGACTACGGTGTGGACAAACCCGACACCAGATTCAACATGAAGGTGTTTGATTTCTTGGGGTCCTAACTGAAACTATGTCCTTACTGAACATGCTACATCTTTTACTCTTTTGTTTAATGTACAACATGAGTGAATTATATGATTTTTTTATTTTATTTGTCTATTTGTGCAGCTAATAGACCTCAGTCAGATCTTCCTTTCCACGGAAATTGAATTCCTCCAATCAGCTCTTGGCCAACCAGGAGGCTCCGTTCGGGCCGTCTGTGTCCCCAGTGGAGCAGTAAGAACAGAACCATTTCCTGTGGCAGAGAATGCTGAAAATGTAGAACAGAAGATGTGTTTTTGTGCCACAAGAGAAGCTGACAACTCTCATATGTGAATTTGTGTGTCTCACATTATGTTTTCTTTCTTGTAACAGAAACTTTTCACTGGGAAGGATTTGGAAGAACTGAAACAAATAGCCAAGACTCAGTTTGGACAGGTAGGTCTCTTATCCTTTTCTTTCTTTTACGCCTCACGTTGTTCTGAGATAAACACTTGTGTGTTACAAACACTTGTGTGTTACAAACACTTGTGTGTTACAAACACTAGTAGAAAGTCACAAGTTGTGTTTTCTCCTCGTGCGTTAAGGAGCTGAGCCTGGTGCTGGTCAGAGCAGACGGGACATTGAAGTCTCCCCTGAAGAAGCTGCTGTCTTCGTCTGTCACAGACGAGCTGCTGAAGTGGACTGAAGCCAAGCCAGGAGACCTGCTTCTGATTGCAGCAGGCTCCCACCACACTGTTGTAAGAGGCTTGGTTTGAGTCGGCTGTCAAACAAAGAAGCACAGAGCTGATACAAACGCTCCCTTCATCTGACTCTCTTTTCTGCTCTCAGTGCCCATTGCTGGGTCATCTTCGCCTGCAGTGTGCAAAGCTCCTGGAGTCTCATGGTGTGGTCGTGCGTGACCCCTCAGCCTTCCACTTCCTGTGGGTCGTGGACTTTCCTCTCTTCTTGCCCAAAGAAGATGATCCAGAGGAGCTGGAATCAGCTCATCATCCATTTACTGCACCAGTGCCAGAGGACACACGGTTACTCTATACTGATCCACATAAGGTACTCGTGTAGTACTTTATTAGTTATTTTTAATTATGTAGAAAAATGCAGGATGTATCGTCTGTTTGTAAATTCTGTATTTCACAGGTTCGTGGTCAGCACTATGACCTGGTGTTAAATGGCTGTGAGATCGGAGGAGGCTCCATTCGCATCCACAAAGCCTCAGAGCAGTTTTATGTACTGAAGAATGTCCTTAAGGTCAGTGGCTTCCTCCATCTTGGTGCAGTTCAGTCTTTCACTTATGAAAGAGTGGGACGTTTCAGTGTTAACACTAACTGTTTCCAACTGTTTTTGTGTTTCAGGAGGACCCCGGACTTCTCTCCCACCTCCTCGAGGCCTTGGATTCAGGAGCGCCGCCTCATGGAGGCATTGCTCTGGGTGAGCTCAACTCTGCTCGATTTATCACTGAGCTCGTATATGACTTACATGTGTGCATACACTGGGTTTTTACTAACCACACGGTATCAACCTGATATCATTGCTTTCACTCTAAATATTGTTTGTAGGCGGTCCAGTTTCCCTAACCACTGAAAAGAGATCAGTGTATTTTCTTGAATTGCTCTTAGCACTAACACATATCCATGGCAACATGCTTGATTTTAGTTACACATGTTTCTCCATTAGTTGTATATAAATCCCCACTATAGCACTAACTGGGTAATTATTAGTGTTCCCATGCCATTCATTAGGCAGGTCATTCTTCAGCCCACAAACCACTGTCTCGTGCTACAACGCAGCAGCTAAAGTCCACATAATTATTTACAGTGCTGGACCAAGACAATAAGGATGGATCAGTTTATAATTCATTTGTGGGATTTTTATGTTTTAGCTCATAACTGTATGAGATTTCTCAGAATGTTTGTTGTTCAAACTTAGAGTTAACATTTTGGTACGCTGAACAGAGAAGGAGAGACACTTACAGTTGGATGGTACTTTTATTAAAATTTCTGGTCAATTTGTGCATCCGAGTTTGTGAATGAATAATTTAAGGCTGGAGTAACTGTGTGTGTTTGTTTTTTTTTTTTTTTTTTTGTTATTATATATTTTGTGCCATATCCCAGCATCAGGCACCTTAAGGCACCTAATATTGTAAATACTCTCTAAAAATAATACAGAGAGAACCCAACAATCTTGAAATGTCCTTTGAGCAAGCACTTGGTGACAGAGGAAGGAAAGCTCCTTTTTAACAGGAAGACACATCTAGCAGAACCAAGCTCAGGGAGGGCGGTCATCTGCTGTGACTGGTTGGAGGTGAGGGGAGGGACACAGGACAAAAGACATGCTGCAGAGACACAATCCAAACTGCTCTGTAGTTTGTGAGTCTTGTGGTTCTTTGTTTGGTATTTGTTTTGTGTGAAGTGTGTGAATAGAAATGATAAAGTTGAAAGCTGTACTTTCTGGTTTGACCACAGGGTGGCAACACTGTCACTGTTTGTGTCATTAGCTGGCACACAGTGACACCTGAATAAGATGTTCAGAGCAGAGCAGCACCGGGCCTGAATGGAGTTTCAGTAACTGTGAGCAAGTCAGTTATTGTGCAAAATGATTTGGGTTTGGAAGATGTGACTTGACAAATGCGCAGCAGTGCTGAACTTGTCTGACTCTTACTATTAGCCCATTTCAGCTGTATCTGTCTGTACCATTCGACTGAACACGATCAAGCTTTTTTCTGCCAGGTCCTTAGTATAAATGCATGTATTGCGAGCCTGCATGGACAATTGAACAGTGAATTCAGAGTAAATTGTGCAATATTGAACAGTATATTGATCAAGTTGTCTCTTTATTTCTTTATCCTTTCTAGGTTTGGATCGACTGGTCTCAATAATAGTCGAGCTCCCAGCATCCGCGACGTAATCGCCTTCCCCAAGTCATTCCGCGGTCATGACCTCATGAGCCGTGCACCCGACTTGGTGTCTGAAGAGGACCTGAAGTGTTACCACATTTCTGTTAAAATGCCAACAGAGCAAGGAAGAGAGGGAAAGTGATTAAGAAGAACCACAGACATCGAAGGATGTCTGTGTAGTCCCAGGTCTGGTGAGGCTGAGGAGATGTGCAGACTATCAGCAGACAGCAAAAAGACTTTGAGGCTGTAAGATCTGTGCCAGATGGCAAAACAACAGAGACAAGAGATACTTGTGGCTGCATTGATGCTGCCGTCCCTCTATGTTTGTGGTCCTTCGTATCAAGTTTTTTAGATATTTATATCTTTTTACTGATTCTGTACAGCTGCTTATTATGGGGTGGTTTGGTGTACATGTTCAAATGAGGCATTATATGAAATAATAATAAATCTATAATGTCATTGTTTTTGATGCCAAGAAGTTCAATTTCAGCATGTGCAGAACTTTAAAATCCAAAAGTCAGAGATTCTCACTTATGATTTTCATGATGATCTTCATACATCTTCTGTGTAATGTAAATAAAAACAGCAAGCAATGATTTGAAAATGACGTAAACCCATATTTTAGTCTCAGTACGTGTATCATTTCATGGGAAATATTAGCTCAG